TTCTCAAAGGGATCCGGTAACTTTGTCTCAGATTCTGAAACAAAATTCTGGATTTAGCTCATGATGCAATGATAATTATAAACCTTTAGGTCAGTCAGGAACCCATGACTTTTACAAGCCGATCGCCTGTCTGATTATCAAGATATTTATGATTGGAATTATAAAGTTTGAAAACCGTTCGCCTGACGGTTTTCATAACACTACAGTCTATTGGGGAAAACGAGTATGGTAAACCGGTCACTCAATGATTTTTACTTTTTTGAGGCACTTCTTGATCATTTTGAAGCGCATTTTTGTTAGGGCTTCAATATTACACCATATCACAGACACTGATAACACGTAGGGCCGTGTATATCAGATTTAACATTGTTAAACGATCCCTTTAAGACGCCATTCCGTGCAAAAATGTTGCATAACAAAGATTGCTACCAAAATAGCGATACTCATTTTAGTAAGCCCATCAGACTAAAGACTTCTATCAACGAGAAAAAACATATATTGAAAAAAAATGGGATAACAAGAAAACAAAAATCAAAGCCTCGAAAAGATGAATTGTACAGCCCTTTCTCGTGTAATCCAACCCAATGTATTCTTTTTTCTTTATAACTTAAAGAAGGGTACATAGGGGACGTGTACGCTTTGTATGATAGCCGATATAAAAGTTGTTACTGTTAGCTTGGCAGATTTTAAGGGACTTTGTAGCATTGTTCAGGTGAGAGAAAATGGTGTTAAGGCAGTGACTTCAATAATAGATGTAAAATTAAAGATAATCTGAAATTTTGAGTGAAAACAGACCATCATTAATTTTTATTTATTTATTATTAACATTTATTTCCTTCTCAACAGCACAATATAAAACACAATGTATATATACATGATTATGTAACAATTATTTCAACATAGAGTATACAGTAAATAATTCAGATACGGAAGGAGGCGAAAACCCGGAAAGCGTAGCTTGAGTTGGGAACGCCCATAATAAATTAACACAGTTACCGAAAGAACATTATAGATATTATTATGAAAATTACATTGTATATAACAGAACGTTGATAGGAAAGAAAAAATAGTGAAAGGAAGAGAGGAGAGAATTAAGTATAGGAAGGCATGTTCACTTATAAAGAGAAAGTTACATCAATTGGGCTGTACATGTGTCTGCGATTACATCATAAAGATAACGAAGTACAATTGTAAAATAGACAGCGGGTACATATCATTAAAAACAAGCAAAATCATCAAACAGACAACAGCTTTATCCGACAGCATTGTCCTGGGAATATACAGATGGTACTAGCAACAAGTTATCAAAATAAATAAATAATCGGTCATACAAACATATCATTAAATTCCACAAAAGATCATTAATGATAAAAATTGGGGAAAAATGATCTGATCGATTCCTTAATTCTCCCAACTATACTATTACAATTTAATTACAGGTGAATGTAAATCGTCGCAAAGCAATGAATTGGCTCTATATACCATTCCAAACATTTAAATGTTGAAAGAATTTAAAAGCCTGTCTTATTAAGTCTTATTTTCTTTGAAAAACTTTTGGAAAAATTCAAAAATGGTTGGAAGAATTTACTGTAAGAGGAGTCGCACAGTGACGCCTTGTTTGAGAATTCTTCCAGATTTTGTGCATGTTAGAGGGTTAGTACAGTAGAAGGAATATAATACATGTAAATAGCATTTTATACCAAAATTACGCAGTTTTATCATCAACCTTTAACAATGTTACCCAGTCACTGTAGGATGCTATTACCGAACAAAAATAATCCCTATACCTTTGAGACTAATCTGGTACACTTATGAAATTCGTCAACTTCTACTTGTTTTCGTTCCATCAGGCTCATAACTCGATTTATAAATAGAAAATATCATTAAAAGAAATGCAAAAGTGATTCAATCTTGAAGAAAATTGTACCTTAGGGCGCGATTTACTGCTCATCTCATGAGAGCGTATACTGTGGGGACAAACAATGCCATCGTGATATTGTTTACTCACTGTTCGACGTAACAGAGTCCTACATGTACGCTTAACCTTCGAGCAAACTTTTTCTTTTAAATTGAGCCGATGCTTGTTTGTCAAGCTGTTATAGCTCGAAGTATTATGCTCATGGCTACTTTGTGTCGTTCTATTCAACGATTTGACTACTTGACTACAAGTACTTTAAGTTCTTTACCGTAGTCCCTCTTTTCTTCCTTATATTTTTCTTCTCTTTTTTCGATATGTTACATTCGTTTCCTTTTCCTTGCTCATCTATTTTAACGAGTCAAAAACCAGCCTTAAAATGTGTCATTTAAGCATAAATAAGTGAAACATTGATGGATTATTTTATATGGGGACCTTGCTCTTACAAGCCCAGCTTTTCTAAGGTCTCCACTTTCTTTCATTTGGATTATATATCGACTTAAAATTGCACTTAAATCGTTTTTTCTTATGCTGTTTTTTGTTCTATTATTATATGTAAAAATGTTGTGAAAGAAAGAAATAAAATGAACCTTGAACCTTGAACCTTAAATTAATTTAAAAAAGCAAATGAAAATGATATACTTGTTAATGTCTTTGGGGAGGATGAATTTAGTCCTTTATAATTTTCACTTATAAATGGTCATTCAAAAATGTATCTTTTTCATATTTATGAGCAGGTCTAGCCCCAGTGGTTAATTTTTTGATTTGGTTTGGTTTTAATTTTCGTATTTATGCGTATGAAAATTAACAAATAACTATTTTTGAAAAGGATGCGGCTAGATTTCTCTTTTCAGAGCCGTTATTTCAATGGGTCTGTTCTTTGTAGAGGTCCATACGTGTTCTATAGAAGAGCTTGGAGTGGCCCCCCCCCCCCAACAATTTCTTTCAATCCCCCTACTCTCCCCCCCCCCCCAAACAAAAGAATAGCTTTATTATATATGAAAAGTCACAACAGAACCCCCAGAGCCCTCTCCCTTCCCTGGATTAAAACCCTCTATAACCTCTACTGATGCCTAGATGAGATGGATTCACTATGCTTCGTTCTCTTTACATAATCAGATGAGCAGCCATCCAACTATCCTTCTGCGTGCGCGGCTAGCCATTGTAGCATCCCGTGTGAAGAAAGCAAAATCTATTGCAAGCAGTGTCAGTTAGCTGAGTTTAGGTGACACAAATCTGGCAAGTTTGAGCTAATCTCAATATAAAAGTACATGACTTGGGTCGTGACGGCAAGACACTCAGAGCTCGATATTATATCCTCTTTCTATCAGGAGAGGCTAAGGGCTCTATTAACTGAGTAATTTGACAGGGCTGACAGTATGGCATGCACGTATCCCATTGCTGCGAACCCACAAATAGCCGTCGTATACCCCGTCCCCCCCCCCCCACACACACACAATACCAAGGACCGGGGAAATCAATACAATGTGTAGTGATCATACTGGCTTTGCCCGTGTACATTCAAAACGCCCCCCCCCCCCCACCCCCACCCACCCACTCCCCTCTAAGGAGAGTTCCTCTCCCGCTTGTTTATTAATGTGTCGATACGCCGTTAGCATTTTCATCACTACCCCCAGAGAATATACCCCTCTCTCTCTCTCTCCCTCGCTCTCTCTCTCTCTCTCTCTCTCTCTCTCCTCTCTCTCTCTCTCTCTCTCTCTCTCTCTCTCTCTCTTTCTCCAAGTGGGTGCTGAGAGTGTACATTCTAACCGTTTTCTGCCTGTAACGCCCAAGCTCTAAGGGGGTTGTATGACGCAGAGCAAGGAGAGAAACGAAGGACATGAGCTCTCATGGTCATCTTCACCGTCCATTGACATGAAGAAACTGAGCCAAGTCGGGTCGAGTGCCCTCCTCTGAACATGACTCTGTCGACGACTATCTATGTAACCTTGTCCATGCATTTTGACTGATTTTGTACTGATTTGAGTGTGACGACAATGGATATGATAATTAAACTTCTTAGAAATGCAGGTGCCCACGCAAAAAGGTTTCCATAATAAAATCCTTGTAAGATTATCGTGAGTTCGGTTCCCTCAGTACTTCTCATACTTTTCCTTGTCTATCGCCACGCCCCTCAGCCCCCCCCCCCCCCCTTCCTCCTCCTCTCTCTCTCTCTCTCTCTCTCTCTCTCTCCTCTCTCTCTCTCTCTCTCTCTCTCTCTCTCTCTCTCTCCCCCTCTCTCTCTCTTTCGTCTCTTAATGTTGTATCTTTCTCTCATGTTTCTCCTACCTAGGCCCTGTAATAAATTATAGACTGTTACAATTACTGAATCTCAACCACATCATTTGTATATAATCGTACCTTTACCAATATCAACTTACGCTCGTCTTTTGTTACAGGAAGATGGAATTCAATCACTGTAAGATACAATCGATTATAGCAATACTAGATATATATTTACAGTTGTCCATTTAAGTCGATTTTATGTGCCAGTGCTCTTTTTAGTCAATTACCATTTAGTGGTTTACATTATTTTACATCCTTACTATAAATCAAGATGGATTAAAAGAGGAAAAACTTTGGACGAATATCTAAGACGATAGGTTGGGGCACTGATGAATATCAAATATTATTCTAATGACAATAAATCTTTTGGGGTATAAATAGATCCAACCTGAGAGTGAGGATGATAGACTTTGCCAGTAGTAGTGAATAATTTCCTCAGAAAGAGAAGTAAGAACGATATAGTAAGACAAATTGATTCCTGCTAACGATTTACCACATTAAAGTTGGCGCGCGCAGGTGAATAATACGAGAGCTTATGTCTATTTGCACGCCCATCATTACGCAAACATAATACGAACACAGTCATCTCTCCTTGCTCACCGCAACGCATTGCCCTGTTGCCATACACAGCACTTAACATCGAAACGCTGGCCGCGGCGTCTCGTACAGGCACTCGGCATCGGTGGATGGTGGGATATTAATTAGTGAGTGCTAGCATTCCAATTCCATAAACATGTTGTTTTAGGTCAGTCGCCATTCGGTAATTTTCTTTTGCTATCCATTTGCCATTTTGAATCAGGGACAAATCTGGGAGAGCAGGAGGCCTTGGCGCATGCACTCAACAAAATTACTATCTTCCCAAACATGTCAACAAGGTGAGTACTGATTGTCATTCTAACTTTAGGTACAGTCGTCTGATAACAGTCTTTATGGTATTTTCATCTCAATATTTGAATAATTCTTTGTCAATTTTACTTATAAATCAACACTGCCATGTATATAATAATAATTCATACAAAAACTAGCTATTTAAATAAAAACGATTTATTCAAGGCTATTCGCATCAAAATACTGCAACCATTATACTTCAGGAACGATCATACCCGATCATGTTTGTAGTGTTTTTAGTTTTCTCTCCTTAGTTGATATGATATAATGGTATGATTAAAACAAACTTTTATAAGGTTCATGAGTTCTTTTATTGTTATCCGTTTCACATTTAGCTGTGGACCTACATATAAATCTAATCCAATTCCCATACATGTGAATGTGCGAACGTATGAAGTAATGTTTACATAGTCATACATGAAGGCATTCAGCTGCATTTATCGTTTTTACCGAGAAAAACAAAATTATTGATAATTTAAATGGATTCATACAGAGAATACCTTTTTCATCCTAGTATTGTTCTTTATTCTTTAAATTCCTACATTACTTTTTCATCACACACCAATGAATAACCATTCTTAACACTGCACACACTCTATCTAATACATGGAAGAAGAAACATGACGAATATATATAGACATAATATAGTGATAACCCTTTTGACGCCTGCCAAGATCTATTGTTTAATCTCAACCATAAATATACCCGACGACGTGTTGGAAGATCCATAAACGGTTTACTATTTAAGTAGTGATCAAGATGTAAAGAATCTTATCTTTATATTCTTCACACGATCATGTCAAATGCCAACACCGCTTATCAGATGATTTGATTTAAGACTTGTCATTCTACGCTGATGTTTGTCGAGAGAGAATATAAACTTGACCTACAGAAATTTTAGATTGACGAGAGCTGTGTCTCAATTTGTTTTATTTGTAAAGAAAAGTTCGATGAAGAAAGCTTGTATCAAAGTAATATCTGTCAGTGAATGTTGTAGTCTACATGAACGTAGAGAGAAAGGGTACCAGTACATGCAGGCGCGTACGCAGGATTTTTTCAAGGGGGGGGGGGGGTTAACATTTATAAATCGGGCCGAAAATTTCGCAACGACTCAGCCAGCCGCTGAATAAGCGGGGGGGGGGGGGTAAGAGGTCACTTTTTTTTTTTTTTTTTTTTTTTTGTCCTAAAAAAATCGCAACGACTCAGTCGACCGCTGAATAAGCGGGGGGGGGGGGGGGGGGTAAGAGGATTCTTTTTTTTTTTTTTTGGTCTCGAAATTTGAAAAATTGACATTTTGCTCCGTTGGGGGGGGGGGGGTAAGGTCAGCTTTTTTAGGTCAACCATGGGAATATTTTTTTTTGTTGTAATAAATAAAAATAAAAAAAACATCCAAAGGGGGGGGGGTTAGGGGGGTTATGGGGGTTTACACACAGAAAAATACCAAACCCCCCCCCCCCCCCCCCCCCCCCTGTGTACGCGCCTGAGTACATGCAATGTATAACGAATTAGTCAACAAAATTTCTCGGTCGTGCGCTTTGTGTATCTTTAATTTACCTGCAGTGTCCATACCTTGGGAGGCTACTTGTGGAAGGAGAGCTTCGTTCAGTTTCATCCTCTTGTTTTTGTGTTTTTTGGGCAAACTTTGTGATATTTGTTATTGACATCTGTACATTAACCCGAAAAAGAGTCTGACAACACACAATATTCCAGGTATTGTGATGGTGTTTTTCACGTTCACGGACGTTTGCTTTGTAGGGGGCAAAGGTTCGTATACTATTTTAATAGAGGTTGATCATTGAACTCTCGTGTACAGGGATCTATTATTTGTAGCTATTATCAATATAGTCATCCCTTTGTATTGATATCAAGGATGACTGACTAACGAATACTACTCGGGGAGTGATATGTGTGTATACGGGATACTTTAATTACCAATTTACATATTAAGTTTCGGCTGTGCAGGAATCAAATGTTATTGTAAGACTTTGATAGGATATCCGTGATACAGTTTATTCTTCATATGCTTACCATTCTCATGTGAGGATTAATTAACATGAATGACATGACCTGTCATGTGAAAATCTCTGTTAACTTTTTGATAACTTTATAATATAATTATTGTTTGCTTGCTAATACAAAAATATTTCCCCAAATCTAACCATGCACGATCATGATTTCTTGAAGTTTTGACCCGTTTCAGTGGATAGTAGCATGTTAATATAATGATTACCAGTTAGATGTATTCGAAATGAATAGTCTCGAAATTGCGTTTTGTACTTTTTGCTTTTGTCATCAAAGTAAATTATGATAACACAGGTGTAAACAAAATAAGAGATATATACATATCTTTGTATTAGATTAAAGGGATAGAACTAGTTAAGTTCTGGTTTCAGACCGCAAATGTCCTTAAAGTGCATGGTTATTGCACTTATTCTTATTTATGACATTTCTAGTGCCCTTTTAGGACCTAAAATTGCTATTAAGGTAATTTTAGAGCCCAAATGTGTGAATTTTAGCCAATGCGATCTTACCAATTCAGCTCTACTTTACAACAAATATGGTGACGGTTAATTAATTAATTAGTTAGTAATAACAATACATGGACCGGCTGGATGTGCGTATTATAACTAAGACCAAAAAGCCAACAAAAAGCCAACATCGGCATTGGCTGGAATAAAACGTATAAGGCGCTATTTCGTTTTTGCAACGGCTGTTTTTCAAATTATCTAATACTCGTGGTGGTACACAAATATTAGAAAAGGTTATATTTATGGATATTTTAGCCGTCTCTGAACCGATTTTGATCAAACAAAGAGGAATTTGTAATTTAACTCATCTATCCCTTTAGCCTCAATCGATATAAAATGCTTTTATACAATTCATGTAGGCCCAGCTTCCTCCATAGAGAATCATTACCCACACAGAAGAGTGCAACTATAAACAAATATAAAAAAAAATTATTTAAAAAAAATTGTTTCCGCCCGGGTTCGAACCGGGGACCTTGCGCGTGTGAGGCGCACGTGATAACCACTACACTACAGAAACCAGACGTTCCATCATCGATCTTTACACAATTTGTTATTATAGCAACAAAATTACTGTTGTCACAAGATGATTGGGAAATATACCTTCCAATAGGTTAAATGTTAGTGATCGCAGTGGAACAAAAAGCTTGCGATTTTTTTAAATTTTATTTATTATCTCTTAACTATCGTGCTTCTAGGGTTGTAACATGTATTTCTCATATAGTGGACTCTGAGAATTGGTCGACGGAGAATTAAAGTAAGAAATGTTTTTGGCAATCGATGCTCTTGTTAAAGACACTTTGTCCCTTTTGCAGCCAACATCAAATTCTGTAGAACTTTGCAAGAATTATGAATATGTCATGTATGTCCTATCTGTTACATTTAAACATTAGAAGCGTCCTAATATTCAAATTATGCAAGGAAACCCGTTTCCTTGCTAGACTTCACTGTCAGACACTATTGAGTGACTGACTGGCCTTTTTTCTTCTTAGGTAATAACGTATACACATAAAATGAGCAGTAAAGGGTACATTAGCATTTGTCTACATCAATAAGCAACTTCTTGTAATGGCCAACATTAAACTGATTGAATCTTTGCGCAGCATAAAACGTACGACCATTCGGTGCAATGGTCTGAAAATCAAAATATTACTTATTAGTTATATAGCTCTTAAGTAGATTCGACAACTAATAGTCGTTATTTTCCCACTTAAAGACATTTTCAACCCCCCCCCCCTTTTTTTTTTTTTTAGGGAAGTTCTAAATTAATATTATCTTTCAAATGCCGTTGGAGTTTAACGTTTTCATGGTTTTGGCCTGCAAATCGGACATAGTACATTTAATGCATTGAATTCAAAATATTCTCATTGGCTGCATCAGATAAGGGTGCAAACTTTATCATATACAGTTTTAAAAACTTTTTCAAAATAACGATAAAGAAAAGTTGTTTCCGCCCGGGTTCGAACCGGGGACCTTGCGCGTGTGAGGCGCACGTGATAACCACTACACTACGAAAACCCGATATGATGAAATGATAGTTAGACAATCTACAATAATAGCTTGTTGTTCTTTCATAGTCAAAACATCAATTTAAAGATAAAAAAAATGGATTCTGTTTATTCATTTGGAATCCTTTTTTTATGATCGACAAATTTATGAACGATTTAGATGAGACAGAAACTATATTAGCAATTTTTTCAAAAACTTTTAATTTTAAAACTGTGACCAATTTTGATCATTCAGAAAAAAATAGTTTCCGCCCGGGCTCGAACCGGGGACCTTGCGCGTGTGAGGCGCACGTGATAACCACTACACTACGAAAACCCGATATGATGAAATGATAGTTAGACAATCTACAATAATAACTTGTTGTTCTTTCATAGTCAAAACATCAATTTAAAGATGAAAATGGATTCTGCTTATTTTTGAAATCCTTTTTTTTTATGATCGACAAAACTAATGATAGATAAATTTATGAACGAATTAGATAAGACAGAAACTATATTAGCTTTTTTTTTCAAAAACTTTTAATTTAACCACCTTAGACTAATTTTGATCATTCAGGAAAAAATTGTGTCCGCCCGGGTGCGAACCGGGGACCTTGCACGTGTGAGGCGCACGTAATAACCACTACACTACAGACCCGATATAATGAGTTGATGGTTAGAAAATCTACAATAATAGCCTGTTTACTTGTTTACTTTGATTACTAATGCCTGGATTACATTTGGCCTGCGATTAGTCTACGGAGCCCGTATCCTGCCCGTATCCCCTTTTCCGTGCGGCCTCTGTGCGGAGGCAGGAGGCGACCGTGAGATTTTCGTACTGATTCACGGGCTCCGCAGCCCATACGATTTTGTTTCGCGAGAAGTTAAACAAATTTGAAAAAAATCGTAAGCCCGTAGCCCGTATACATGTCGTAGGTGGCATTGCACAATCCCCGCACGGGCATCGCCCGGAGG